CATGCTAGAGAGAGAGGTCAAGCAAAAAGATACGGATTATGTAGGGGTGAAGGCCATTCAAAAAATAATTGTCCTAATTTACCAAGATATAGGCCTCATCATTAGTAATCATATATGTATTTCTATGTATTTATCCGGATTATGTATGGTTCAATTAACGCCATTTTCGTTACATAACTAATATTGTCCCGGCATACATACCAGAGTTTGTGCAGTCTGAGGCACCCATCTTATAATATTAATGATTTGATAGTAATGATTAGTAATAATAAATTATTATTAATTTTTAATGATTTGATAGTAATGATTAGAACAAATGATTTGTAATGATGATTAGTAATAATGAAATTATTATTAATTTTAATGATTTGATAATAATGATTAGTAATAATGAAATTATCATTAATATTTAATGATTTGATAGTAATGATTAGTAATAACGAAATTATTATTAATTTTTAATGATTTGATACAATGATTAGTAATAATGAATGGAGGGCCCTAATTGATATGACATTTATAATTCGAAACTTGAACAGATTTGAATGGACGTGTGGTTCATTAACCATAAAAATGATTTTAATAATTTAAATAATAATTTAATATGAATTTAATATTTAATGATTGATGATTTAGTAATGATTTGATAATAATCATTTAGTAATGATTTGATAATAATCATTATATATGATATGATTAATATAATAATGATAATAATGATTTAATAGTATTATTTAGTAATGATTTTATAAATGATTTATACTATGATTTATAGTAATTTATTAATGATTTTAAATATTTAATGATTTGATACTAATGATTTACTAATTATTATAATGATTTATTATTAATATTTAATTATTTGATACTAATGATTTAAAATAGTCGATACTAAATATAATTATTTGATACTATTGATACTAGTTATGATTTGATACTAAATTCATTGTTAAGGTTAAAAACTAGTCTAATTTCAATATATAATTTGTAATAAATAGCAAACGAGTTTAAAATTGTTGTCGATGCCGGGGTGTTGTTGAATGATAATGTCGGGGTGGACGTCTGATACGTTGTGGCCGTTGTGGTTGGTCAGGAGTATTGTACCCATCCTCCTCATTCATTGGGGGCATTTGAACTGCCATGTGTTCAAAGTCATACGTCGACGAAAACGTAGGAGAATAGATGGGTGCCTCAGGCTGCACAAACTCTGGTATGTATGCCGGGACAGTAGAATCATCAACTGCGTGATGCAACGATTCCGCATCGCCGAACGGTTGTGGTGCGCTATTATCCTCATCGGTCATTTTCGCTTCAGGTTGTAGAGATGAACTCCCACTCAGTAAAGAGTATTCAGATTTACCAAATCTTTTCTTAAACCTAAAAAATTGTTGCCTCTCTACCATTGTTGTGAGGAACGACTTTCCATTATCCCAAAAATAAGCAAGGTAAGCCGAAGTCTCAAAATTAAAGTCGTCGTCTTGAATGGCGTCAAGAGTTGGCATGAATAAAGCCCTATTGTTCCAAGCATTAATGTAGGTTGCATGCTTTTCAACCCAATTAACGCCTTCTTTACGACGAAGGTCAAATCTGTGCAGATCGTCATGCGTCTCAACCCAATTCACCGGACGACGACCATCTAAGTTTTGGAGGAGGTCATGATCCCATGGACTCCGCGAAATAGGTTGGTGGAAGTGGAATTGGCTCAACAATCTATCCCCAAATTGGATCTCAACAAAAGCAAAATTGATCAATGGTGTAACAGCACACCAATATTGCAACCCATGTAAAATATCGTGCGGTATCAACGCAAATAATTCTTCATTCATGTATAGTCTCCAATTAAACTGTAAAATTACAAAAACAATAAAATTGATTTAAATCAAATAATATAGATAATTTAAATAATAATTAAAAAATACATATTATACATACCTCCTTTTTGGCATTAAAGTCGATCTTCAGCCTGAACTCTTTAATGTTGTTGTGCACAAACCCCGTGCCTTCAATTTTATGTATCCATCTGTATATCAATCAAAACCAAAATAGAGACATTTTGTTCAATAATTTTAATCAAAATAAATTTTTTCTAATTAATATTTTATATTAAAATAGAGGATTCATATTACCTTCCGGCAAGTGGAAAGTCAACCGCAGTCCGACTAATCAGTGTCAAAACCGGAAGTCTATGCCAAGCTCATGATTATAGCAGCAACATACATCCACCGATTTCTGCTGTATTATTATCATTCATGACTAATGACACCTTGTACATCTCATGATACAAGAACGCCAATATCGCCGAACCCCAGCTATATTGCCTACAATCTCAAAATTGTTAAAAAAAGAAGATACTGAGTGTGAACATAAACTACCGGATTTATCAGGCATCAAAATTCCCCCAATCAACTATATATATGCTCGTGTTGCATATATAATTTCGTTCTCCGTACTATTTGGTTGAAGTAGAAATTCATTCTTCAACCATGACAACCTCACTCTCCACCCTCTACACTCTGGTGGTACGGGCGCTTTCCCAAGAAACAAGTTGCAAAGTTGTGCCACATTTTTAAACTCATGTGACATTACCACCGGCATCCCATTAGTTTGGACCCCGAGTTGCATTGCCACATCCTCCAAAGTTATCGTGCATTCGCCACACGGCAAATGAAACGTGTGCGTTTCTGGTCTCCAACGTTCAATCAACGCACTGATCAAACCTGGGACCAACTTATAATCTCGCACAAATATTACATACCAAAATCCAGCCTCTTGCAAGTTTTCTTCTATCAATGGATGTGGCTTGGGCACTTTATGTAGCCGAAGACGAAGGACTCGTTGCTCGTCCTCCAACAATTAAATAATGCAAAAAAACTATCACAATCATCATAAAATAATATTCAAATATTTATTAATTATAATTCAATAACCAAATATTTTATTCACCATTATTCCCAAATGACTTGAAATATGTTCATTGTCAAGTCTTAGCAGTGGAATTTGGTCAGCCATTGGAATGAATCTGTAAAAAAAGTAAACAACAATATTTAAAAATTCATTTAATATAACTAATATAATCTAACTAACTAACTATTTTACAACACAACAAAAAATTTAATATAATAACTTATATATATTAAACTAATAAACTAACAAACTAAACTTTTTAAAATATAAGTTAAACGTAAATTTTTCCTTAAACAACTAAAAAACTATTCTTTAATAACTTACTATGCTTTAATATAACGTTAACTAATAAACTATTCTTTAATATAACTTAAACTAATAAATGATTTTTAATTATAATTTACTACTAAAAAACTAATTAACTAATTTTTTTATATAATATAAATTCAACAAACAAATATAACTTAACTATTTAACTAACACAAACTAATTACATATTTTTTATATAACTAACGACTAACAACTAACTAAATATTTTTATTAATATGTAACTATCAAACATGCTAATTAAATAATTTTTTATTTCTATATAACTTAACTAAACAATAACTAAACTAACAAACTAATTAACTAATTTTTGTTTTACCCTAATTTATAATAATAAACTAATTAACTAATAATTTATAACAATAAACTAATTTAAATAATTATTCTTTTATATAACTTAAACTAAAACTATTTTTTATAATAAAACTTAAACTACTAATAAACTAATTTTTTATATAATAAATTCAACAACCAAAATATAACTTAACTATTTAACTAACTACAAAACTAATTAATATTAGACTAACACAAGAATTAATTATTTTTTTAATATAACCATCAAACAAACTAATTAAATAATTAACTAAAATTGTTTTAACTTAAACCATAAACTAACAAACTAATAATTTAAAATAAAACTAATTTATATAATATAAATTCAACAACCAAAATATAACTTAACTATTTAACTAACTACAAAACTAATTAATATTAGACTAACACAAGAATTAATTATTTTTTTAATATATAACCATCAAACAAACTAATTAAATAATTAACTAAAATTTTGTTTTAACTTAAACCATAAACTAACAAACTAATAATTTAAAATAATAAACTCATTAAAATAATTAAAAAACTTACCTCAATGTTGTGCTCTCCCTTTCTTCTTCCTCCTTTTTTCTCTGCTATTCTCCTTTGCTATTTTTCTCCTTTCTTCTCTCTTAATTGTTCACTCATTAACCCCATCCATCCAATATATAATACAACAACCGGGCAGACTTTGCTTCAATTATAGGTGGCCGAGTCATTCACGTTCACGGGTTGCAATAATGCAGCAATAAGTGCTGCAATAATGCAACTGATTTCACGCTGCATGGGAGCAGAGGCGCAGCGACAGCAGAGCACGTGAGAGCTTCAGGCGAAGGCATAGGTCGTTTGGATCCCTTGGCGACCTACAATGTCGCTGGGATGCCCTGACGACCTACAATGTCGCTGGGATGACTACCATTCCCTGATTACCCACGTTGCCATGCCTTGCCATGCTGCCACCAGACCCATGCCACGTTGCCATGCCGCCAGGCACAGCCATGCAGAGACTCCAAGCTCGCCCAGACCCATGCCACGTTGCCATGCCGCCATGCACAGCCATGCAGAGACTCCAAGCTCGTCCGGATGCCATGGCGACCTCCAAAGTCGCCCGGATGGCATGACGACCTACGACAACACTGTGGAGATCACTCCATTTGAGCAATTAATCTGGAGAGATCATTATTTCGTGAAATAAACAATTTGAGAGCATTATCTCGTTGATTTTGCCGGGCAAAATTCTAAAGAATAATTTGAATACTGTTATTAAACCAGGAACGACCTAGCAGCCAGACCGGCGACTCCGACAAGATATTTTCCGACGGAATGTCTACATAAAGGATACTCAAAATAACCATAAAAATTTGTCGTTTCCAAAGTTCAGACATCAGACAAAGAGTACAAGATTGCAAGAACACACTAAACCATAAACTTCTAGAGCAACTTAAGTCTGTCCACAGCGATGCTGCCTGCACATTTCCTCTAAGACATATGACCTTCGCGAGCTGCCATGTCCTCAGCCTGTCGAAGGTTCTAGTTCTTTGATGTTTTTGTCGTTATGATCATCTGGTAACTGATTCCTACATAATACAACGGCAAAACTTATTCAGCACTTATACATTTGAGTTGACAATTTAGATTCCTTTTAAACAGGATTTCAGGAGGTACGTGTCATCATCAAATCATTTAGAATTTCATTGAACCATATGCAGAAGGCAAATTCTATACCTTTGTGTTTCCGAGTTTGCAACTTCTGCCGCTGCCAAACTCTAGTGCAGGCATCTGTGAATCAAACATGGAAGGAATTATTGCATGCAACAATAATTCTGTTCACCATATGTAGAAAATACTCCCCGTTTTCTTTATGTTACCTCCACGTTATTCGGATCTGAAGGTGAAATCTCTCTCTCAAGCAGCTTCTCATGCTAAAGGGGAAAAAACAGATTGTTGAGATTCAACCTCATTTGATGAGGTGAGAAGTCATTGGTGAAAATTTCAAATTCAAATCAGGTTATAAAATAGAACTCGAGTGACTTAAAAACTTTTAGTAATTAATGGAAATGGACCGACATAATTTGGCGATAGATACAAATGTAATGGTACACCCTTAGCATCACTATTTGTGAAATATTCTATGGAAAAAACAGCAAAGATCATCAAAACATACTCCATGTTCATCACACCAGTCTAAGAAACGAAGAAAGATATCCTCAATCCACTAGAGGGCATGAGAATTTTTTTATCACAAGTTGCATTTAGAACTCGAAAAACACAAGCATATGGAAAGAAGAACATAAATAACATTATCATCAGGTAGAGACTCTTCATGACCTTCCCTTGCTAGCAAAACTAGTAAATTGACCGGTAGGAGAAAGCATCATAATTCCAACATCAGTATCACTTAACATAGATAAATCAGCGGCCTTCTTGAGAATGCTACCCACCAGGAATTGTAATTTTTCTTCTTCTTGTGACCCATGATCAAAGGAAATCGGATGAGAAAATGAAGAACAAAAATATGGTGTAGACTACTAAGAGAAGAGTAGTTTATATAAGAAGGGAAGAATAAATTTTAGGGATATGCAAGAGGGTAAAATAAAGCATGGTACTATGACAACTACGGAAAAGGTCCCTTGATCATAATCACTAAAGGATTTTTCTTTGGCCTGATAAAGCAAGTAATGCCCTTACAATGGTTTAAGGCATTGATGGGAGTTGTCCAAGAAGGTTGCAACCGTATTTGCCGAGCAAAACCGACGGATTGACATGCTACACGTGGCATTTCCGTAACGAAGTCTGTTACTACCTGCGATTCACATGAATCCTGATCTATGCGAAATGTATCTTGCGAATTCTCGTTAATTGACGTGTGTCTGTCGTCTGTAACCTCACGAACAAACCTTGTGGACGCTCCCTAATGGCCACGTACCAACACAAGTGACTTCACCAGATAACTAATTAAGTCCCTACCATCGTTTCCTGGGACTTCCAATCAAGACCAATGCCACGACATCCCCCAATCAACTTCTGCCGAGAGTATTATAAATAGCCATGCAACAGAGAGCAAAACAAAGCACAATCTCCTCTACCAAAACTAGACCTCCAACTCCAAACCTGGACAACTACCACCTTGACTACCGTCTGACTGCCCTCCACGGTTCTTGTCTGTCTCATTAGTCAACAAAGTCGTACAAATTGTAAAGGGAAATCCGTCCTTCACAAAGTAAGTACCATGTGGGCAACCGAGGGATTAAAAGGCAAGACACAACTTTGGAAGGCCATGAAGTCATTTCCTCATTGGAATGTTAGAGATTTACATGCAGGTAATATACAAGCGAGATCGGATAAGATTCAGAATATTAGAGATAACTGTCAAAACATTAATACAACTAAGAGTAGTAGCTCACTTGTCAATGATTTAGATTCGGGTGTTTCATAATTCCTTAATTCTACTTCAACCACTTATCTAAGTAAACCATACAATTCAAAGAACCAGTATTTCATTAATAAATAGTATGCACTTAGAAAGGGAGAACAAGCAAAATGGAGCAGACCCAGATTTCCAATGACTAAAATATTCGAATATCTTAATTTGCCATGACAATTGGAAAGTTCTTAAACCCCACAAGAGCTCATTGCACATATAAAAGAACATCATAAATCATGAAAATTAAAGGGAAATTGTTGAAGCAAGCGAACAAGAAACGTAAATCATAATAAAAACAGTAAAAAAATGCGGAAGATAAACATCAGGAATCAGAAAGGGGGATCTTTTCAAATTTCAGTAATGACCCAACCATTTAATTCAGACAATCAAACAAACGTTTTATTTGTCGTTTTTGTAAAAAGGGGAAGCATTACTTAAAAACTACCATACCAAGAGCCGAGCAGAAAAAGAATTGATGGGACCCAAAACTCAAGAAAACTCCAAACGTTTCAACAAACAGCTTTAAAGTTTCTTCCATTTTCAGATTCCTTGAGTTGAGTTTAGTCAGGAGCATAAAATAGGAATTATAAAAAATAATTGAGGAATTTAAAGTAAAGGCTAAGTAGCTCAGATGGTAGAGCGCTAGCTTAGCATGCGAGATACACGGGGTTAGATACCCAGCATCTCCATATATTTATGTTCTTAACCTTTACAAAGGGTAAATTATGTTTTCAACATCCTTAACTTTAAAATATTTGAATTGACCACTCAATTTTCTAATTGCTTTCATTTTGGTCACTTACATTACACATGTTAAATCAAAGATAGGGTGACGTTAATTTGCACATGAATCAAAGATAGGGTGACGTTAATGATTTTTGCTGACATAAAATAGAAGTACGTGTTGTCCATTTGTATTTTTTATTTTATCTTCTCCTATAAAGATAAAATTTTAAGAGTTTTATTTAAGATACTAATAAATTTGTCTCATCAAGTCGAGTAAAAAAATAAATTATTCAAATTGATGAATAGTTTTTTAAAACTCAAACTTTATTTAAAAAAATTGAAGTCGAGTCTGTTTGATTCCATTTTGTTTGACGAATATTATTAGAAGTAAAATTAAAATACTTTTACTGTTTTCGGCCCTTAACCATTTTGTTTACTAAAAAAATAAATTTTATTGAAAATATTTATAATGTCATTGTACTATTTGATTCAAACATAAAAACTTTTCCATAATCATATATAATATACATATATATTTCTTCATATGTAATATAAATATATCATCCAGAGTTGAATGGCTCAACTCAAATTTAAAAACAATCTACTAATAAAAGTATTTTTAAAAGTTAAATAATCAAATTAAAAAAATGAAAATTTAATGACAAAACAATAACGCATGCAAAGTTGAATAATAGAAAACGTAATTTACTCTTCTAAAAAATATATTGTTTGAGGGGACCAATGCAACATAGTTTTTTAACTGGTTTTCTCTTATAATAATAAATTAATTAACATATAAATTTTATATTTTAAAGATTTCACGAAATAATACAATAAAATTAAAATATTAATTAACAAATTAATTTATATTTATGGGTTATAAATTGGGTAGTAACATTGATTTAGTAGCATATTATAGTGTTAATTGGACGCCAATATTGATTTAATGTCGCATGCGTATGTATGTATGTATGGTAAAAAAAATTATTGTTATTCTTTGATATCTTGGGTTAATGCACTATGAATTCTAGGGATATAAACGTTCAATGTTAAATGATTAAGAATTATCTTTAAACATATATTGCTTTGTACTTAACGTATATTAATAAAATAAATATATTAAAAAGCTTAGGTCATTGATTTTGAGGAAGGCTAAATATAAATAGAGACTTTCACCTCATTTGTATCATCCATTCCATTCATTTTCAGTTTGAGAGGGTAATAAAACTTAAGGTATTTACTTTAATTCTCTAGTCCCTTTCAATAGTCTAACTTCTCTTTATGCCTAATGATATTAGTCTAATCAAAATATTTGTTTTTAGATTCAACACACATATATAGTTGTTATTATATTTTTTAATTAAAAATTAATATATACTAATTATGTTAAATATTTTATTATGTTTATATTAATCTAATCGATAATTTTTTTAGATTTACCACTTATTATAGTAGTTTATCAGTCCAGTTGGTCATTAACAATAGGAGCATTCAGATTAACTTGTAATTGTTATAGTTAACAGTTAACTAGTGTGAGGGGCTGTTTGTTTACTTCAGAATGATTAAGCGCTGAATGATTTAGAAGCTCTGTATGAATTAGCTCTGAATGTGATATGTTGTTTGATAATGGCTCTGAATCATTCAGAATGTATTCTGTGCTGAATCATTCAACACTATTTTACTGAATCAGTCAGTACTGAATCATTCAGAGATGAGAAACAAACGCGCTAAATGCTGAACGGTTCAGCATTCAGCGTTGAATGGTTCCATTCAGAGCCAAACAAACAACCCCTAACTATTATATTTTATAAGTTAATTAACTGAATCATTAAAATTAATCGTTAATCAAACTGCTCAAGTAACATTAATAATTATGATTACGATTAAGTATTTTGACTAATGATTAATCATCAATTAATTGTTAATAAATATACAATTATATATTTTTAAAAAAATATTATTAGAAGTAAAATTAAAATAATTTTACTGTTTTCAGCCCTTAACCATTTTGTTTACTAAAAACATTTACAATTTTGGAACCGAATGAATTTTTTAAACCAAAGAGCCAGAGAAGAATTCTATCATTTTACTTGCTACAAATTTATAATTATAAGGGGATATGAATAACAATTTTATCAGATTAATGGTTAGGGATGGTCATTTTCCTAATCTTGATTGGTCCCAACCTGACTTGGTCAAAATCAGTTTTTATTAGATATTAGAACAGTTTTTTACTGAAATTTTCCTATTTGAATTGAGTTCCTTATCTTAGTATATTTCTTAAAATATTTTTATTTTATAATTATTTTTATAAAACTTTTATATCTTGCTAATCTTAATATTTATTAAAATATTTATAAAATTAAAGAATACATTTTTTAAAAATATTTTGTAGTATGAATTATAAAATTATAAAAATTTTATGTTATAGGTATCTTTGAAAAAGAATTAGGTAACATGATAGCTTGCAATCAAATCTTTTTAATGATTAGTTACGATTAATAGAATTTAATAATCATTATAAAAATTAATCGATCTTTTAGATTTATCGATTGGACGATCTTCGACTCTAGTGAAAAGGATGTAAACAAGCAATGTTAGATCGAGAAGTGTGGCACTGCACATTTGGTGGCTAGTTATGGGCATACTATGACCGTCGGTTTGGGATAAAATTGAAACATTCAAAAGTTTGGATCAATATAAAATAAGAGTCACAGTTTAGGGATAAATTTAAAATTTCAAAAGTTTAAGGAATAATTTAAAATAAGAATCATAATTTAAGGATGAGATTGAAATGTTTAAAATATATGATTTAATTTAGAATTAAGGTATTGGAGGACGTGTCGTACAATTAACTTGAAAGTTTATTGTTGCAAATTATTAGGGTAAGCTACAAAATAGTCACTAATATTTGATTAAGTTTCAATTTTCTCTATTGAAGTTTTAAAAATAATACTAACATTATAGTTTTATAATATAATAGGCATTAAAATTATGATTTATAATAAAATAGTCACTCCACCGTCCTCTATATTAAATTCAAGATGTGATAACGTTAACAAATATTAATATTTAGTTTTATCTTTAAACTACTATTAAAATATTAAATAGGTACTTAAATAATAAATTTATATATAATTTACCCCAAAACTTTTTAATTTAAGTATTTTTCAAATACCCACCACTACTGTATTTCTCTCTTTTCCACCTTAACAGCTCCCAAACTCAAACGCAGTCATCTCGACTTATCCTTCTCTCACTTTGAGAAAACACATCATCAGGTTGTATGGAAGGGGTGACAGGAACAAATGTCCCCTAAAAATTTTAAATTATTATATATTTTAAATTTTTTATATATATTTTTTATTTAAATTATATTTCTATCTCTGTCCAAAATTTTAATTTGCTTCTAAATTTAAATTCATCCCTTAACATAAATTTTTGTGTAGTTACAGTTTATATATAGTTTACGTTAATATATATTCATTTATGAAAAAAAGAAAAGAAAGAAAAATAAAGACACCGTGATGATTTAATTATTTTTTACTTTCTCGAGAAGGAAAGCTTTTCAAAAGCAAATCATTGATAATATCTTTCATAAAAGAATATAAATATAAATAATATAGTAATATATAATGGAAAAAGGAGGACTTTTCCAGTTCGTCTTCCTTTGAATCTTTCATCACATGGACATGGAGATGGTCTCGAATATTCGTTTCTTTTCTGCCGCTTCTTCCCTTCAAAGTTTCCAACTTTGATTCTCTTCAACCGAAAAAACAGACCACGATTTCAAACACCTTCGCTTTCCGGACAACAAGATCCGACCGTTTACTTTGCCCCAAATCTTTGTCAAAAAACCCCATCAACTTGAAAATCCCATATCAAAGCCATTCATCTTCAGACAACACATGCTAATTTGAAGCTGTAGGAATGTCTAGGTGTCCCCAGAACTCAGTTTTGTACAACGGCAGCCATTGTGCCTGCCAAGTCGGCCGCTTTCTCAACGTTTCGGCCAACAGCTGCATCACCTATGATGGAAGTTCAGCTATCAAAACTGATTCGGGGATTGACTACTACGCGTTCTCCTTCCCCAAGACCTTTATATCTTTCGATTCGATTAAGAAGTTCACTCAATCCCAAGCTGTGTTCTTGGAAGCTACTCTTCTGATGTTGCTTTCATGGCTCCTTTTTTGCTTCCTCTTGAGGTTTACAAAGCTTGGTGGTGGCAGAAATGTGTGGTTTAAGATTAGGTGGTGGATTAGTCGCTTGGATGTTTGCTTTGCTACAAGGCATTGGCTGGTTGGTCCTTTTTAACGATTTCCCTTGTTTCTTTTGATGCATTGCAACGTTTAAAAGGGCAACTCGCCTCTGTAGAATTCCAACTTTATATTTTTGAGCTGAAAGTTTGAGGTTCTAACTGTAGAATTCTGTAGTGACAATTGTGCTGATGGTTCTTTCTTTTTCCATGCTCCATGTGAATTTGTATGTATTTTTCTTAAGTGGGATTTCTTTTTTGCAGTGAACAAGTATATGTAGCATTATTTGTATGTTTGTATGCAAGTGTCTGATACAAGTATGTGTTATACATGTGCATATTCGATTTTGTGTATGTGTTTTCATGTATACAAATTTGTGCTGGACATGGGCATTGCAACGAAAATTTAGAGTTGATGAAGCAACATTCGTGTCTAGGATGTAGCATGCTCAAGTGACTAAGTTGGTTGAGATTTGGATTGTCTTGAAAATTGGGGTGACGTCGGGATTGGTTTTCGTTAGCTAATTAGCAAGCCATCATTAAAGTGTAATGTCGACATAATTCACTTTTGCATACTTTGGAATTGGGTGTATTATTGTCAAATTTGAAATTCATGTCTAAGGAATAATTATGATTTCAGAAACTAGAAGAAATGTATGTTAACATGTTTTCTCATGACGGATGGTTTTTTCTGTACTTTCATGATGCATAAACATGCTAATGCTTTAACTTGTTTAATTCATTTATTTAGGATGATCAGAAGTTTGTTGTGAAGCGGAAAACAGAACTTGGTGGAACTTTCTCGATCGCCAGCTGGATACTTTTCACTGGGCTGTTTGCTGCGTGAGTGAGGATAATGTTCTCGACGCAAGCATTTGATTTTCAAATTCTCATGAATGTTTTCTTAGAACCCTTTCAACATATGAATATACGTTGATTTGTTTGTCCCCTCCTTTCCATGATTTATGTTAGGCTGCTTTACCAAATCATCGCAAAGAGAACAATTGAAATGCATAACGTGAGAGCAACAAATGCGCCTGACCTAGCTCTGTTCAGGAATGACATGGAATTTAATATGACAACAGTTTCTAGTATGAGCTGCTCGAATTTGCGACGTCCAACTACTTTACTATCCGGAAGTTCCGGCTTCAATGAAGACAAAGTTTTCCCTATTTCGGGTTTTCTCAACTTTTCATGTCACAATACGAGTTTGGGGCCAACCATATCTCTCAAGTGCAGCAATTGCCGACTCCATCAAGATTTTTTGTCTGTTTCATGGCAGTTTGTTGATCTCCCAAACAGCCCTGCAAGTGCCGTAGGTTTTCAGTTCAATGTGACTTCAAAAGATCATATCAGGAGTGATCATGTGAGTTTCGTTAGTGGCACACTGAAGAATGGAACCAACTCTGATAATAGCCCTGTTACTTTCAGAGGGACGGACACAAACATATTGATATTCAATTTATTTCCCCGTCTATACCGCAGTGCAAAAGATCTCAGGCTAGTTCAACCCCTGTTTCATGAATTCGTCCCGGGGTCAATTTTGCGTGAGACCTCTCAGCTCCAGGCCTCATTAGAGAATGCTAGTGATGGACTAATGAACACTACATTATATGTCAATTATCTTAATTCCTACATCATTGAGTCTGAAAATCAAAATATAGTTGGTGCTGGTGAGTAATTTGCTTTGCATGTGTGTATGTGATTCAGTCTGGTGTTTTTTTATATTATCTGCTACATCAATTAACTTACGTTTGATATTTGTGCATTGTAAACTATTTAAGGTGACAGTCTGAGATATCTACATTATTTCGTTAATCACTTTACCAACTTGGTTTAGATGGAAGAGTTCTTGATGGCCACTAGCAGGATAATGTTGTTCTTTGATTGAATTGGCTTCTAATGGCTTTCACATGCCTTGTTCCTTTTCTAATTCCCCTTTATTTGGAGAACAACCTTTGATTGCATTATTCTGCAGGATTCATTGCAATGAGTTTCTACTTGTATGTATTAATGCATATTGTTTTGTTCAACTTGCAGTGGGCTTCCTCGCAGATCTTGGTGGGCTATATTGCCTTAGTATGATGCTATTTTTCTTTCTCTTGGTGCAAGTAAGTCGTGTTCCTTGTTTGTTTATCATTTAGTTCTTCCTTTTTCCCTTGATTTTCTAGATGATGATTGAAGACCTTACACTATCAATAAATGATGTTAAGGTTTATTTTTACCCTTCTTTCGGATGAAGAGAAAGATGTTTATATTCAGTATTTGAACATCATGTCAAAAAAATACTGTTACTTCTTCCTTAAGTAATTGTTCAAAGTTCCCTTCCCTATTTCACCTGCTTGGTGCACTTTGTAGTGTGAGTTCAGAATAAAACGGCTCCGCAATGAAGATAGCATTTTACGGAATATCAGAAGTAGAAGAAAAGCTCAAGAACACTGGGATAAAGTAATTTCTTTCTCTGAAGAACATGTAGCCTATGTTTATTAGTCAATTCGAGTATTCCTCTCTGATTTAGTCCTTTAGTATAGTTGAGTTGTGCTTTTCTTAACCAGGTGAGAAAATACGTCATGTACACGTGGAACTGCAGAACATTGGATGTCGATGACCACTCTAAAACGGAACCTGGTTGTGGTCATTTCATGCTTCCATCGGTCCATGGTAATGGATCAGTTCGTGGAGGGGTGTCATCGAGGAAGCGAAGGCAGCTAAGTAATATTGACCTAAGTTTTCACAAGCAAGTCAGCAGTGAAAAGGTAGATTCTATCAATCTCTTTTTCAATGCCAACCTAATTTCACCTTCTTTTGTTAAATTAAGTTTTTCTCGGAAAACACTTGCTTTTTACCCGAATTTCCGTACTCGACTCACATAAAGAAGGTTCAGTTAAACACAAGTTACCTATAATCAGTAACATCTCTGTTTTAATGGCCAAGTTTTTCCAGTTTTACCTAAAATTGTTATTATTTCTGTCATAGCCGTGTGAATTGTTCTTACCTAAAACTGCATCGACTGTCTGAACCAATGTACTGATAGTACTTGTATAACATGAAAGACCGAACAAATTTCTTAGTCGTCTATGTTGGAAGCATTGTCATGTGGTTTTAAGCCTTTGGCATCTCAAAGTGTATAATAATTGGCATATATATATATATATATATATGTATATATATTTATATATGTATATGTTATGATGAATGAGGCGGAAATAGTATTCCTCAATCTTCATTTTTCAATCATTTTTTAGGAGAAACATTCATACCAAGTGAAGTGAAGTTAAGTTTTAGCTGTGTATCAGTTTATGCAAATACCATTAGTAACTTTGTCGCTAACTTTTGGACCCGAACGTAGCATAGCTTGTCCACATAGGTTTCCATTCTGAAGCTTTCCATGTAAGTATGCAGGCCCTCAAATGCGATATATCTGGATCTGCTAAGGACAAGATAAAACATTGCATCGGTTCAAATGATGGAGTTGCTGTCCGGCATCAAGCATTTCCTATTGGTGACGAGATAATTCCCCCACCACCGCAACTAGGTACGAACAGGGCTATTTGGATTGTCATCATTTCATATCATGTTGCACTAAAAGACACAATTGGAGTTGATTGTTTTCCGTTGTCTCCGTATCTTCTAAACCATAGTTTCAGTTTAGTTAATAAGCGTTAAAACTTTTCTTTTTGCCAAAGAAAAAAGTTGGGTTCGCAGGGGACAGGGGTATGCTTTTGAATCACTGCTTTATTGTTTAAAGATTGTCAATGTAAACAAAAAGACTGTTAACAATAACTCATACATCGAGATGATTTCTTATTATAAGTTAAACTACTGGTGTCGAGTGTTGACTCCATTATTATTGCTCTTTCTATCTCCTATGTTACTCAGATTTAGGTATGGGTGTTGAATTTGAATATGTTCATTTTTTTCAGTATTTGATGTGTCATATCCTGGAACCGTACTTCGATATGTGTCATAGGTGAGTACTTCAAATAAAACTGAAGAGTCGGTTAGGAAATGACTTGCAGGTTGGTTTTGGAACTGCCTAAAAAGACTTTTCATTGTGATGAAATGAAACTGCATGCATAATTTTCTTCGAAATCTTCTAGTGTTTTTATTTACCAACATATTTTACGTTAAAGTTGCTCATCTTAATCCTTCTTCTTAATGCAGATCTGAAGTCTGGCTCAGATATCGAGTTGTCTGATATACAGAAGAATTTTCAACGTTTGTACGACTACAATGTCATGCTGAGAGAGGAGTTCATAGCCACCCAATCATTGCTTCGCGATTTGACTGCTAAGACTCCATCTCCGGGAACAGAAAGTCAAACGTGATACTGCTGAGTATATCCAATTCTTTTCAGACATTTTCCTATCAAAGCAAAAGGGGTGTTTCATGCAATCACCCTGAGGAATCAGCATGTAACTGTTTCTTCCTTTTCTTATCCTTCAATCATTTTTGTACAAAGAAGGCGTGTTTTACGGATGAACCCTACATGTTTAGTTCTTTATATTCCACGCCTCTTTCGGGTCAACTGACCTTACAGCGGATGCTGCCGGACATCATCTTTGCTTATGAAGAAGGCACATATGTTGTTGTATGTTGATTTTGTGATGGAACTCAATGCTTATTGTAAACATGATACCCAGGGTTTGTGTTGTAATATAGTGTATATCATGAACTCGGAGAATGCAAGAGGGTTATTCACTTCCGTAATTCATCTTTATTATTCATTTTCATAATTTTGATTTCGTCTAACCTTAAAATGTTTTTTTAACATTATTTATGAAGACATTTTTTTGTGTTCATTAAAAGTGACGTGTCCGTGGCTTACTTGGTTTATAGAAATGGCACCACTATTGATAAATATAGAAAACAAAATTGTGTATGGATGAAAAAAATAATAAATTGATAAAATTAGTCGTTTCCAAATTATGGGGCTTAATAACATGATATAAAACACGAAATGACACGAACATAAAGATAACTTGAACACAATTTGTCCTGTCTACTCCGTACAGTACAAATCATTCCCTATAAAAAAACATGGTTTCCTACAATCATTTTTCACACTCCCCCTCAAGCAAGAACCATAACCCACTACAGATTCAGACATCTTACACGGGAGAGAGTCGGACACAATATAGATGTCTTCTATTCCATGAAAACCAAAGCTCATAACTCAAGTCAGATGCAAACCAGTTTATGTAACGTAGATGATGGCGACGCCGTTAAATGCAACTACGGAACATTCAAGCAAGCAGCAGTTAAGCTAAACTCACCTTACCACGGAACATTCAAGCAAGCAAGCCGCACTCAAGCTAAACTCACTTTACCTGTTGTCCTTTCCAACAGTAGTAACAGTCCACGAAGCTCTATTGTTAAACTGGCAGTGGATTAGAAGAAAAATCCATAATTGCTCCTTGTCTACTGTATTGACTTCCTTTCACCACCTCTCGAATCCTTAGCCGAGTGCAGACCTAAAGCATTGACAAAGATCCGCTTTGCAGCTCCTAGATGTTCTTTTGAAAACTCTTTATTAACGCTACTTCGAGTTCTATCTGGTATACTAGCATCAATAGGTCTTTTTGGAGTTGATTCATCTGAAACATTTTTCTCACAAACCACCAAAGTACCATGTTCATTTGCATTGCTATTTGCTTTACTGCATGCATCCTCATTTTTCTCTTGTTCAAGAAAAGCATCTTGACAAGTTTCTGTTCTCAAATCATTATCAGCTTTATCCATATTTTGAATACTTGGTTCATTAGTTTGCACTTTATCTTTATAATCCCTGGCTTTATCGTCTTGATTGCATGAGTTAATTCTTTGTCCTAAAGCATGTGCAATCATTCGACGAGCCACAATAGGAACGGTTCAAGGCTTATGCTTAACAGGTTCTTGAATTTCTCCAATATCCATCGCGAATATCCATTCACGAGCAGCCAAGTAAGCTTCTTCTCTTGCCTCAAGACTAAGCTCAAAAGAAGGCAACTTTGTCTCCATTACTGAAAAATGAAAAGGCAATCTTTCAGGGCTTATCGTCAAGGAAATCAAAACCTCCATGTTATTAGATTATCAATATAGAGAAAACTAGTAACATATGCAGATAAAATTTTCAAAAATAATAAATGAAAAGGAAAAACGAAAGAAAAACAAACTAATATTAATATTCAATAAGCAAACTAGCTAAAACTTAAAACTATAAATGGTCAGCCATTAAAGGAAAAGGCAATTAGACACTTTTTAGAGGAAGAGGAAAAAAAAAAGATATCAATGTATGAGTAACTAGAATATAATGAAACAGTTAACAATATTCAGAAAATACAGCCTGCCCCAAGTAATACTGTTAAGCATCCATCTGAAAATCAATTGAACCTCACTGGCTCCTCTCACCTCCAATGTGGCAAATACCTTTAAATTTTAGAATTCAGTAAAATGAGTTAACATAAAAGAATCTATTGTGCAATGCTTCCCTTGAGAGAGAAAAATCAAAATACAGTCTCCTTGCTACCCGACTAAAAGAATCTAGTCGAAAAATACAGATTCTTTACTATGAGCTGTTAGGAAAAGTATTCTACAGCTTGCACTTGAAGAGAGAACAATAAAAGCTTTCTTCTTTTCAGTGTTTCAATACAACATGTTGAACCATCTTCCTAATAAAGAAAGAAGAGAAAAAGGAAAACATAATAACTAGCAAATGAGTAAATTAAATGGATAAATAAATAGTGCCTTCCATTCGTAGGCAATAACCCAAAGAGAACCAGATTTCGTAAACAAAAGATACAAAGAAATAACTGATATTTTGCTGAGGTAATTGCATTTGTTTTGGTAGACATGCCCTTCAAAATCCACCCCTTTTACATTTGGAGCACACAATGACAACAAATGTACATAATGGAAGAAAAACCATTGGTATGCATATTGCAAGCATGGAATTTGGAACATGGTTCTTTCTCTCACCATGTGACCCTCAAATTCAATTTTCCCCATCCCCGTTCGATATAGTTCCAATTGGAAGAGATCCATAATATCTTGCACGGCATGCTCTCTAATCAGCTATAAGTAACCATGGTAAAAATTGTACAGGAAAGAAAGAGATATTCTCAGCTACACATGTTATTGTTTTTTCTTAAAAATTGCAAATCAGTTCCTCCATCAATAGAGGGATCATGAGTTATGAACCAATAGCCTAAAAATGATTAAACAAGTGAACAGGAAGAAATTTACCTGGTGCAGTTCCTTCTCTTGTTAATATATAGCGAGACTCTGTAAGAGACTGAGGCTCATCACACTGCCATAATATATCACTAACAAGAATGGAAGGTCTGCAAGACAAGATGTTGCCGGGTCATGAGCACCACAATAACTAAATGACCAAAAATGAACAATAAGGAAACAAATTACATACATTGATGTCTCTGGGCATCGTTGCAAAACCAAATGCCTATCTTCTCCTTCTCCAATTGATTCATGCGCAAATCTAGCCAATTTTGTAAAACGTTGCTATTAAAAGCTAATTAAGAAAACACTACAGCTCCAAAGTCAATTCAAACGAGGATACATTAAGAAAGAAAGACAAAAAGAAAAGTACCCAAATATATCTGCAAGACGATGCAGGAGAAGCCGATTGTATGAATTCATAGGTTCCAACTCTAGGGTCCCATCTGAGCTGCAATCCAACATTTTTATTGTTCATAATGATCATAACTGAATCAGACTTGTACATTAAAAGAACTTCCTAAGAACCTTTTGCGTGGGGATGTGGGATTCTTTAGTTACCTTGAAGGAAATTAATGAAAGCCTCCTCCATTGACAGCACTAGATGTTTGCAAGGAAGATTGTCCTTAACTAGGAATGCCAATTCTTCCACCTGCATCGTAGTCATATTAGTCCACCAAAAGTCTACTTATGGAAAACCTCATCCCACCCCATTCCCAACCGAAAAAGTAAATAGTATTTATAATATCTATTTACTTCAAGAATTCATTTTTGAGATAGCAAAATCTACCATTTGATTCATTCAATTATTGAGTAAGAGCACCAAAATTTTCAGTTGTCGAGCACTAAAAATTAAAAATGAGGGGTAAACGACAATTACCCACAAAGCAAAGTTGGATGATTATTCAATGAAAAAAATAACTTTTTAGGCAGCAATAGTTAGCATTTTACTCATTCAATTATTCAGTAAATAATTGACTTTAAACAGTAAGTATATAAACAGAATTCTCAGTTTTGAACACTAAAAATCAATAAGATGTAGTAAATTATAATTACTCAGAAAGCAAAATGGGCGTTTATCATGTACTTTAATCCTAAACTATTCAGACATACACTGATGCAAACAAAAATTAACTTCTGAGATAGAAAAATGCATCATTTTACTTGCTCCGTTATTCAGTAAATCATTGACTTCAAACAACGAAAACATGGACAGAATTTTCAGTTTAGAACACCGGAAATAAAAAATTATTGGCAAATGATAATTACCCAGAAATCAAAACAAGTGATTATCAACTGTTTCAGATGAATTTAGGTTCAAATTAAGAGGAAAAAAGATAGCCTCAACTACTAACGCATTATTCCGAAAAAAATAATAAAAAACTAAGACGGTTTGAGAGGAAGAATCTTACCATAGCGAATTGGGTGACGCTCATGTTTGTTTAAAAAGAAAATTCAAAAAATTATAACGCAAAGAAAATCAGAAAATTCAGGGCGGAGAAAGATAAACAGGGGAAATTGTTCAAAGATCCGCGAGAGTATGTTATATTGTTTTTAGGGATCATCCAACTATAACCTTTTTATTTGACTATTATATTTAAATTCTTATCAATTAAACTATCTAATATTTAAATACATTTAATCAGATCACTTGTACTGATGTGATAGTTAATAAAATTAATATAATTATACATTTGGTCACTCTTACTTATATTATCTCAATTTAGTATAATCAGATCATGTATATATCACTAATATCAAATATCATGACACTGTCGTAATTCAATTTAAAGATTTAGTTTATTTTAATTTAATATATTTAATTTCTACTAATCAAAGAGTGACACATGTCACTTTTTTTGGGGAAAGAAAATTTAAAATAGTAAAAGGGCACAAACAATTTGAACCAATAACCATTGTGGAGAATGGAAGAGCTCGACCACTAAGCAAGTTCATTATAAAATATATTTTTATAGTTAAGAATTTAAAAATATACTTAAAAATATATTCTTGACTTAAATAATAAATTTGGCCTACTTTAAACCAAAAAAATATATTCGATAAATTAAGAAAAAATAATAAAATATATATTTTTATATTTAAGAATTTGAATATTTTAAAATATTTTAAAAATAATAAATTTGGCCTACTTTAAACCAAAATATATATTAGATAAATTAAGAAAAAATAATAAAATATATTTTTATAGTTAAGAATTTAAATATTTTAAAATATTTAAATATATATTCTTACCTCAAATAATAAATTTGGCCTACTTTAAACCGAAAAATATATATTCGATAAATTAAGAAAAATAATAAAATATATATTTTTATAGTTAAGAATTTAAGATTATACTAGGAAACAAGATATATGTACAATATGTAGTTTATTTTAAACCAAAAAAATGAACTTGGCCAAGTGGTTAGGCTTCTCCCTTCTCCCTTAATGGTTGTTGATTCGAATCCTTTGTGCCCCTTAACCACTCTTAATTTTAAACCAAAAAAATGAACTTGGCCAAGTGGTTAGGCTTCTCCCTTCTCCCTTAATGGTTGTTGATTCGAATCCTTTGTGCCCCTTAACCACTCTTAATTTTCTTTCCACCAGAGGGCGACACGTGTCACCTTTGATTGGTAGAAACTAAATATCTCCAAATCCTCCAATCGAGTAGCAACACATGTCATTATATTTGGTATTAGTGATCAAGTGGCATGATCTGATTCGAATATTAAATTTATTTGAATTTAGAACCAAATTGAGATAATATATAAGTAACAATGACCAAATGTGTAATTATACAAATTTTATTAACTATCACATCAGTACTTCCGTTAAATGTTAACAAGTGACTTGATTGAATGTATTTAAATAGTTAGGTGATCTTATTGACAAGAATTCAAAATAATGGTCAAAATGAAAGAGGATATAATTGGGTGGTCTCTAATATAGTTTATCCTTATGTTTATTTATATTTTCATTTTTTTCGGATAACTTATATTGCACGTCTTATTTTAATTTGATTAGGTTTATGGTTTTTTATAGGCTTAAATACACCTTTACCCCCTAAATTATATCATTTTTATCGAATTATCCCTTAAATTATTTTTTAGACATTTTACCCCTTTAACTATAAATTGTTATCCCGTTTACCCAAAATAGTTAACACCATTAAAAATAAAATTTACGAACCAATTAAAACACTTCACGTCACCCTTAATTTTCATTTTCTTTATTGAAATAAATAAAATATAATTAATAAAATATATAAAATACCAAAAATACCCCCTTCGTCTCACCATCAACACCACCCTCCTTCCCCAACCCCAACTCCCCCGCAAATTAACGAACCCCTTTCCCTAATCTCACCTTCTTTACTTTATTGTCTTTCATTTCTAAGCACTTATCTCTCAGTTTCAAATGATTTCGAATGTTCGTATTTTCTTCCCTAATCTCCACCATCAAAACGACTCTTGCCGATGCGATTTTTAACCATGTTTTTATGTTCTCTCTCTCTCTCTCTCTCAACTGTGTTTTTTGTTTCCTGATAATTCGCATATTCCTCCTTGATGTCTCTATCTTTCGGTTACGAAAACATCTTGTACGAATCCAGCAATGCATAAGCTTCTGACCGATTGCAATTTTGATACTTAATGCTTCCATTTTCAACCGAGTTTGACTGCCGTTTGATTCACTGGGTTGGGAAATCTTTTATAAGAAAATAAACATGTTGGAGGCAATGACCGTACTAAATCGGTGCTCGTTGGTCTTCAAGAAGGCTGTTGGACTTGGCGGATGACATTGGCTGGTAATTCTTTGTTATTATTTATTTTCAGTTATGCTGGAAATGGGAGGGGGTTTAATTTTCTCGAGGAGATTGCAAGTTTAGCCGTTTCTTGTGTCTAAATTTACTTCAATTTGTTCTGCTATCTAACTAATTCCTCATACTTATTCAAATTTGGGTTTAGGGATGTGGGTTTCGATTGCATGCAAGTGCCTGTTAATGGATCTGGTATTTTGTATTGTTTTAGCAATTGTACGATGATATTCAGAATTTTTTACAATACATTGAAGCCATTGTACATAAATCAAACGAGGGTCTGCCGGTGGAGATGGGAAAAAAAGGTGGGAGGTGTGGCGAGGGTCGGGGAAAGACGGGTAATTTCGGTAGTTTATATATTTTATTTTATTAATTTTATTTTATTTATTTAGATAAATAAAATAAAAATTAAGAGGTGACACGATTGGTCCGTGAATTTTATTTTAAACGTTGTTAACGATTTAAGGTAAACGTAATAACAATTTATAATTGGAGATAAAACATCTCGAAAAATACTTTAAGAATAATTCGATGAAAATGATATAGTTAAGTGGTAAATGTGTATTTAAGCGTTTCTAATATTAATTTTAAGGTAAAAATATCTGCGAGGCCCTCATACTTTAAGAAAATTTAAAGAGGGTCTAACGTACCTTTTTACCTAATTTTAAATTTGTATTTTTTTTGAATTGTTTTATTTTATGGAAATCTTATATTATTTCATAAAATTTTAATTTTTTTAAAATATTAGTTTTAAGTAATAAAATAATTAATATTTCTCATGTAATATATTTATATTATTTTTAATATTTGAGATATAAAATAATTTTTATATTATTGAAAGAAAAATTAACTATTTATTAAATAAAAAATACGATTTGATAATCATAATTTTTAAATTTATGAATCATTAATGATCAAAATATCATGGTTAGGTTTAATTTAAGTTTGCTTGATTCATTTATTCGCATCTAGCACGCCTTTAAAAATTGATTATATCCTGTTTTAGTCTTTGGTTTTTGATTTTATTAATTTAGTCCTTTCTAATAACCTTTAATATATACTATAATGAAAGGGTATGATCTAAAGTTTTATATAAATATTATTTTTCTTTTAAGGTAACGTAACCAAATATATATTTATATATCATCATTGATATTAAATCTGAATTATTAATTAATAAATAATTTTAATATTAAATAATTTTGACAATATAAATATTAAAAGTTTCACATATACACTTTAACTTAGCGGTGTGTATTTTCGGATACGGATATTATCCGATCTGAAATATATCCAAAAATTTCGGATCAATAAAATTTTGATCCATATCCGATCTGAAAAAATCGAATATCTGAAATTTCAGATCGGATAACCCGATATCCGATCCAAATATAAACTTTAATTTGAGAAAAAAATAAAATTTAAATATAATATTTTATAACTTTATACAATATATTTTATACCTCCATTATATATTTATCAAAATACATTTAAATAATTTTAAACTAAAAAAATTAATATCTCTTTTATAGGCTTAATTAAAGGGCGATTTTCCCGATATATCACCCGGTGACCGGTAATATTACCGATCTAACACCTGTCAGATTATATTTCCCGATCTAACACCCTTACCAGTAAAGCGCGCCCCCTGCACCGCGCTATACGATGATTTGGCGCCACGTGGGGTATAGCGCGCCCCCTGCACCGCACTATACGGTGAGCTGGCGCCACGTGGGTATAGCGCGGCACCTGCAGCGCGCTATACCTGTATATCTGACACGTGGGGTATAGCGCGGTGCAGGGGCGCGCTATACCCCTAACTACCGACCCGTCCTCCCTATAAATACCCCCATTCTCAATCAATTTTATTACACCAAATTCTCTCAAATTCTCTAAATTTCTCTCAAATATTCTTTTTTAAGGTATATTTTATAATATTTTTACTATTATATTTTTACTTTATTTAATATTTTACTAATATAATTCTTTTGCAGATATATAATGGAAGACAGTCTACTTCGCTCGGATGGAAATCATATATCTATACACTTTGCTGATACGGTAACATTTTAACGTTTTAATTTAATTTAAATTATTAGTAATATTTAGTTATTTATTTAATGCATGATTATTATATTAATAATTAAATATCTCGTCACTTTGCTGATACGGTAACATTTTAACGTTTTAATTTAATTTAAATTATTATTAATAATTAGTTGATTCATTTAATGCATGATTATTAGATTAATAATTAATTTTTGTAATTATTTATTTTTAGGAGAAGGACCGTGTATTAGATCATTTTATTAGGAATCTTAAGTTAGTGATACCCAGTCGTGTCTTGCCGTATTTAGTAGAGGCTGTATTCGGTTACATAGGTATATATCAGGGTCACTGAAAGATAGAGCCAGACCTAATTTTTGCCTTAGTAGAGCGGTGGAGGCCGGAGACCCACACATTCCATCTTCCGTGCGGAGAGTGCACGATCACACTTGAGGATATTTCTATGCACCTGGGGCTTCCGGTGGATGGAGATGTGATATCGGGGATAACTTCCGGTTCTTGGACTGGTTTGTGTCGGGATAGTCTAGGACGTGTCCCGGAAAATTTTATCGGAGGTAGGATACCGTTAAATTGGTTAGATGCCAATTTTCGGGAGTTGAGCGCAGACGCCTCTAAGGATGAGGTTAAGATGTATGCACGGGCA